CAACGCCGCCAAAACCTCGTTGCCGGCCAACACCGCGCCCACCGTGGCCAACAGGTTGAGCACCGCCGGCAGCAGCACCATCAATCGCCGGTTGGTGATGTGATTGAATATCCAGCTCCCCACCAGCGCTCCCGGGATCAAAATGTAGTACAGGAACCCGAAGAGTACGCTCCCCGATGAAACGGAGATACCCCGGTTGGTTTCCAGGATCGTGGGCAGGAACGTGAGGACCGTCGTCCACGACGCCGACAGCCACAGCATGACTACCCCAAGCAGCCAGGCGTGGGGATAGGAGACCAACGACCGTATCAGCGCCGGCCGGGCGTTGGAGTCCACCACCGCCGCGTCGCTCCCGTCGGGAACATCCTGCTCCGGCGTGGTATCTATCTCGTCCTCCGGGCCTTGCGCCGGCTCCCTGGCTCTCCACGTCAGCGCCGCCCACACCAGCAGGTGCCCGGCCATCAGGGCCCCCTGGACGAAGTAGGCCAGACGCCAGCTATCCAGCACGACGATGATGATTGGCCCGAAAGTGAGGGCCGCCGCCATGAAGGTGGAATGCATGGACAGGCCCAGGGAGCTCACGGTGGAGTACTGGCGGGGAGCGGCCCACCAGCGGAGCAAGAGCGGCCTCGCCGGAGCCATCGACGCATGGACCAACACCGTCAGGAACCGGGACGCCAACAGGGTCCAGAACCCAGTGGCCAGACCCTGGCTGAACAGGCAGGGCGCCATGAGCGCCAGCGCGACCAACACCCGGCGATTGGGGTTGAACCGGGCGAACAGCAAGCTGAAGGGGACCAGCAGCACCGCCGGAGTGCCCCACCAGACGGCTTGGAGAATGCCTATCTCCAGGTAGCTGAGATCCAGGTCCGCCTGCACAAAGGGAAGAAACAACCCGAGTCCGTAGGATGACAGGACCACCGTGCTTTGGTGGGTCCGGTTCAGCAGCAGAACAGACCAGCCCCGAGCTGAGGTGGTCGCACCGGAGTCTTGGCGCTCCCGATCCGATGGCCCGCTGCCGGATCCCTCAGAAGCCAAGGTCAGGCTCTATCCGCGCCGGCGTCCCGCACGGCCCGCGCCAGGTTGCGCCGGCTGGCCTCCGTGGCCGGATGCTGCGGGCCCAGCGTCTCAGCCCGGTCTCCCGCGTTTCGGAGATGCAGTCCCGCCGCCTCGTCGTAACGACTGACCGAGTGTAACGCGTTGGCCAGGCTTCCCCGGCTCCGCAGGGTATCGGGATGGTTCTCGCCCAACACGGCACGGCGCGCCTCGAACAGTGCGCCAAACATTTCGATGGCCCGATCCGTATGCCCGGCGGCGTAGTGGCAATTGGCCAGGCTGCTCCGGTAGCGCAGCGTTTCAACGTGATCCGGCCCATACACCCGCGAGCTCCCTTCGGCGGCCAGGTCGAACCAACGCAGCGCGTCGTCGAACCGGCGGGCGGCCCGATAGGCGTGGGCCAGCCGGTGCTGCGCGCGCAGGGTATCCGTATGGTCGCTGCCCTTCGCCGCGAGCCGGGCGTCCAGTTCGGCCGCGCAACGCGCGATGCGCTCGTAGAGCATTCCGGTCACGGCAACATCACCCGCAGTTCACCCATGCGCGAAACATCGTAGCCGCCCAGGTCATCAACCGCCTGCCTGAAATCGGAGGCAGCGAGCAGGTCCAGCAAAGGCCGGAGGTGTCCGCCCTCGTAGTGTTCCGCGGGAATAACCAGGTCATACTCTTCGTTGAGCAGGGGTACGAAATCCAGCTCCAGGGCCCGGGCCGCCGACAGGACACCCAGCCCGGCGTCGGCCGACCCGCCCGACACCGCCGCCGCCACCGCCAGGTGGCTGTATTCCTCCCGCTGGTAGCCCGCGATGTCATCGGGAGCCGCGCCCATCCGCTGCAGCTGGTAGTCCAGCAACACTCGGGTCCCCGATCCTCGCTGACGGTTTACAAACCTGACGCCCGGCCGCAGCAGGTCCTCCAGGCTTGCGATGTTCGCGGGATTCCCCGGCGCGGTCATCAACCCCTGTGTCCGTCCCACCAGGCGGATGATAGCGACGGGAGTATCCGGCAGATAACGCAGAATGTAGGAAGTGTTGTACTCACCGCTGTCCGCATCCAGCAGGTGGCAACCGGCGACGTGGGCCTCGCCTCGCCTCAGCGCCAGCAACCCGCCCAGGCTGCCCACGTGAGCCGACGCCAGGTTCACCGAGGGACGCCCGCGCCGCAGGAAGCTGCGCATCAGGTCCAACGCCAGATCGTGGCTGCCGATGGCGACGATGGTGTTCTCCACCTCTTCCAGGGGGCGCAGCAGCTCAACTTCCACCTCGGCGCCGGCGTCCACTCCCTCCGTATGCCGCGGGATCCGCACGATGCCGTCCGCCCGTACCAGGGACATCACCACGCCCGCGCCGCGCTGCACCGGCGTCGCGATCATCTTGTTTCCGACCCGTCCCACCGCAACCCGCAGGAATTCATCCTCTCCGATGGGCGACACGACCTTGCGGGTGATGTTCGCGCTGATGCGCGGGCGCGACGGCATCGTCGTCCCTAACAGCAGTTCCAGCAAGGGAAGCAACAGCAGTTCCGCGGTCAGGGCGGCGGATACCGGGTATCCGGGCAACCCCATCACCGCTTTGCCCGACGCCACGCCCAGGGCCACCGGGTGTCCAGGCCTGACGGCGATGCCGTGTACCTGCAACGTGCCCAGGGACTCGATCACCGAGGCGGTGTAGTCCGCGTCCCCAGCCGAGGAACCCGCGTTGATTGCCACCACGTCCGACGACTCCAGACCCGAGGAAACCGCGTCACTGATGACTTCGACGTCATCCGGCACTGGCTCGTACACCACCGGTTCACCTCCCCATTGGCGGATCAGGGCGGCCAGGATTAACGAATTGAATTCCGGTATATCTCCAGGCTTCCTCGGCGCGTTGATGGGCGCCAGTTCATCGCCGGTGGGAATTATCGTGACCCTGGGACGGCGCCGCACCGGGACCGTGGTGAGTCCGGCGGCGGCGCAGGCTCCCAGGTCGGCGGGGGTGATGCGATGGTTCTCCGTCAGCACCAGCTCCGTGGCCACGATGTCCTCGCCTAGTGGCCGCACATGCTGCCAGGGCGCCACCGGCTCGGACACCCGCACCGCGCTCGGATCGCCGGCGTCACGCTGCACGTGCTCGATCATCACCACGGCGTCCATACCCACCGGCATGGGGTCGCCGGTGTCGACCCACACGGCTTGGTTGTCCACTTCCAGAGCCACGGGGCGCGTTTCGGTTGCTCCCACGGTGTCGGCCGCCCGCACCGCGATACCGTCCATCGCCGCAGCGTCGTAGTGCGGCGACGAAGCGACCGCCCACACCGGCCAGGCGATGACCCGGCCCACGATGTCGGGGGCGGTTAACGGCACGTCCTCCCCGGACATCTGGACCAGTGCGCCGGCCTCTTCCAGGGCGGCCAGCCAGCGGGCCGTCGCCTCTTCCAACGGGATGTCCTGCAGGAAGTAGCGACGGTGTGACCCGTGCGGCCTGGGATCTTCCATCAGACTACAACTCCCGCACCTGTACCGGCTCCCCCGCGTAGATCCCGCCCGCATCCGCCGGCACCCTCACCATGCCATCCGCGTTGACCAGGGTGAAAATAAACCCGCTCTTGCCCCACACCGGATGGGCTTTCATCGTCCCATCGTTGCTCTGCGCCAGTCGCACCGGCACATAGTCCTCGCGCCCAGGAGCGGACGGGACGTCCTGCGCCAGGACCGCCGCGCGTTCGGTCAGGGGAGGCGGGTGAATGCAGCCCATGAGTCGATACACCGTCGGCCGCACCACGAGGCTGCTCACCACCATCGCCGACACTGGGTTGCCCGGCAACCCGATGACCGGTTTGCCGTCGCACAGGCCCAGGATAGCCGGCTTGCCGGGCCGCAAAGCCAACCCGTGTACCAGCGGCCCGGGTTCGCCAAGCGCCGCCACGATGTCCACCGTCCGGTCCCGCGCGCTTACCGAACTGCCCGCCGACAGCACCAGCATGTCCGACTCGGCCAACCCGCGCCGCGCCGCAGCCAGCTGCTCCTCGTAGTCATCGCCGACCAGACCCAGGGGCGCGGCTTTCCCGCCGCCGGCGGTCACCTGCCCCGCCACGGTGTAGGTGTTGACATCCCGGACCTGTCCCGGGCCCGGCGCGGCGCTGGGCGGCACCACCTCATCTCCCATCGACAGAATGCCCACCCGCGGCCGCCTGGCCACCTGGATACGTTCAATGCCCAGCGCGAGTAATCCGCCGATGTCTTGGGGACGGACCACGTGCCCCGCCGGCAAGACCGTCTCACCTGCTCGCACGTCCTCGCCCGGCTGGGCGACGTTCTCGCCGGGAGCCACCGGCCGCATCACCTCAATGGTGTTCGCGTCGATGGCCTGGGTATGTTCCACCATGACCACGGCATCGGCATTTACCGCCAGCAACCCGCCGGTGTACGCCACTGCCGCTTCGCCAACTCCCAAGCGTACATCGGGCGCCCGTCCCATGGGCACCTCGCCCACCAGCGTGAACCAAGCTGGCAGACCGTCGCTGGCGCCGTAGGTGTCCGCCGCCCGCACGCTATAGCCGTCCATCGTGGATCTTGGGATGGGGGGCAGAGATTCAGTCGCCAGGACCGCCGCCGCGATTACCGTTCCCAGCGCGTCGGCAGTATCGACCACACGAACCCCTGTCGCTGGTCGCTCCGGAAGCCGCTCCAAGAGCAACGCCAACGCTTCATCAGGAGACAACACGTTGAAGAATTCTGGCATCTCTAACCCGATGCTAACCATCCCCGCCTGGATTGTCAAAAACTTCACCCACAAAGGGGGTCAGTCCGACCAATCCCGCTCCGTGACGAATTATCTTTGCGGAGCCTTACCGACCGGCGGCGCGGCCTGCTCCGCCCTCGAAGATCATCGCGCCGGCGGATCGCCTGCCGTTGCCGGGCCGGGGGTCGCCTGCTACAATCGGCCGGCAGTAGCGTCGTTGCAACGCCCTAATTCCCACGCGCAACGCACTAAGGAGTTGGCCAGCATGTCGTGGCGATTCAGCCTCCTCAATCGTTTCGAAGACCCGCCGGGCGGCATCACCGAAGGCCCAGCCTGGAACGGCGAAGTGGTGCTGTTCACCCACATCCACGCCAGCCGCATCTACGCCTATAACCCCAAGTCAGGCGAGTTCTCCGTTTACCGCGAAAACACCAACCGCACCAACGGACTGGCCTTCGACGCCCAGGGCCGGCTCTTCGGTTGCTGCCAGAATGGCCGCGCTATCGTCCGCTTTGATCCCGACGGAAGCATGGTCACCGTCGCCGACAACATTGACGGCGTGCCCCTGAACACTCCCAACGATCTGGCTATCGACGCCCAGGGCCGCATCTGGTTCACCAACCCGTGGAACACCGGCAATATCGACCCCCACGAGGTCGAGCAACTGGACAACCGTTCCGTGCTGTGCGCCGTTCCCCAGGCCGACGGTTCGTACCAGACCGTCCGCTCCACCTACGACACCACCATGCCCAACGGCATCCTGGTCTCCCCCGACGGCAATACCCTCTACGTCGCCGAGAGCAACAGCGACCGGATCGAAATCGACCGGGAGCTCCGCGCCTACCCCATCTACGCCGATGGCTCACTGGGAGCCTATGCCACCCTGCACACCTTCGGCCGTGACGCCAACCGCGTGCACCGCGGCATCGACGGCATGTGTCTTGACGCTGACGGCAATATCGTAGCCACCGCCGGCTGGCCCACCGGTGGCCCTGGCGCCATGCTCTACGTGTTCTCGCCCACGGGCCGGGTTATCGAGACCCATCCCGTGGCGGCCACTCGGCCCACCAACGTCTGCTTCGGCGGCGCCGATCAGACCGACGTCTTCGTTACCTCCACCGACGGCCATTTCTTCCACGCCAGGACCGACCGGGTCGGATGGGCCATCTATCCATAGCTATATAACTCAGTCACTGATACAGGGAGGCCAGGCAATGACCTCAACCATGTCGCCAACTCCGGAGCCCGAGGATGATCCCTTCGACCAGGTGGAACGCCAGATCGACTGGGTCGAACAGCTCGAAAACGTCAGGATCCGCCACGACACCCTCTCCGCCTCTCGGGAAGTTATTCCCTACGTGGAGGGCCTGCGCGAATCCATAATCAGGCTGGCCGGACGCCAAACCTACGAAGACCTCAAGCTGCTCCACGGCACCCAAGTCGCCGACATTGTGGACGCTGTCAGGCGGCGCGCCCCCGACGATGCTTGGAACGGCACGATGAAGCCGGCCCTCCTGCGGGAAGGCTGATCCCGCTTTCGGACCGCACGTCGCGTAGCCCATCCGACCGAACCCATCTGACCGAACCCACCCAACGGAACCCATCCAACGGTGTCTTCATGCAGCGCAGGCGTTTGAGCAGCTTCGGGATCGGCCGCGACCAGATTCGGCAGGGCGGCGGCCGCGGCAACGGCAACGACCATCTCGACGAGCTGGTTGGCAGCGTCGAATTCTACGTCTACCAGACTCCCGGACGGCGGGTGAAAGGCTTCGACAGCCTCAAGCTCTACGCCGAAGGCGAGGGATGCGAGCTGCTGTACACCGCCGACGCGCCCCCCGAGCTGGCCGACTACGAAACGCTGCGTATCACCCACCGCCGCTCCGAGCCGATACCCGACTCCGTGCTCAAGCGCGCCCACTCTTGGGCCCATCGCAACAATTTCCTGCATAGCTTCTTCAAACCCCTGTACCGGTAGCCGGTAGCGTCCCGATTTTCGTAGAGGCGGATGACTATTTGCCCGTGCCGGGGCAAGTCGCGCTTGGTCACATGAGCGTCCCCACCGCAGCGGAACGGGCCATCCGCCGTCGCATCGCCCGCCACGGCCCAATCACCCTCGCCGAGTACATGGCCCGGGCCCTCTATGGACCCGGCGGTTACTACACCCGCCACGGCGCCGGTACCGATTACTACACCAGCCCGCAGGTCCATCCCGCCTTTGGCGCTCTGCTGGCCGTTCAGTTGTTCCGTTTCTGGCAATTGCTGAACCGCCCGGATCCGTTCTTCGTGATCGAACCCGGCGCCGGTGACGGCCAGCTGGGCCGGGACATCTGCAACGCCGCCGCCTATCTGCCCGACGGTTTTCCGCGCTCGCTGCGGTACGTAGCCGGCGACCGTCGAGCCGCCGGCAGGATCATCCACTCCCCAACCCCCGCCGGCGTCGTCTGCGACGCCCTGCGAATGCCCTTTCGCAACGTGACCGGGTGCATCATCTCCAACGAGTTGCTCGACGCTCTGCCCGTGCATCGCGTGCGCCTGGAACACGGCAGCCTCCGCGAGCTGTACGTCGGCGTCCAATCCGACGTCGCCGACGGCTACGAAGGGCAGTTCGTCGAAGTCTCTGCCGAACCATCTACACCCGCTCTGCAAAGCCACCTGTCCGACATTGGTGTCCACTTGTCTGAAGGACAGAGCGCCGAAATCTGCCTGCTTCTTGACGACTGGGCCGCATCGGTGGCATCGGCGTTGGATAGGGGTTTCGTCCTCACCATCGACTACGGCCGCGGCGCGCACGATCTCTACGACCCCGTCCAACGACCCCACGGAACCCTGGTCACCTACCGCTCCCACCGTCAAACCGACACGCCCTTCGTGGACCCGGGGCGGCAGGACATCACGGCGCAGGTCGATTTCACGTCCGTTCAAATGGCCAGCGAACGCGCCGGTTTGACCACCGTGGACCACATGCCCCAGGGCCGCTTCCTGACCCGGCTCGGCCTGCAGACCATCCGCCGTAACGCATCGCCGCCTGAATCCGGCGGTAGCGGCTGGGTCACGATCCCCATCAACCCCGACGGCCTGCTCCCCGATGCCCTCCCCGACGCTTTCGGCCAACCACCCGACGATTCCCGCGACTGGCTCACGGGACTGACCCACCTGGCACGCCCGGGCGGGCTGGGCGACTTCCAAGTCCTCGTCCAGTCCAAGGGCATCCCCGCCGACCCTTCCAATGCTGCTCTGTCCTGGCTCGACGACGATGCCACCCCGAACGAATACTCTCCGTCCGCCCTTGCTGCCATGATCCCTGCCGAAGCGCTGGCGCTGGGTCCGGAGCGGTTCCGGCTCGCCGGGCCCGCGATGCTATAATCGCCCGACGACTTTGCCCCACCCGGAGTGATCCCATGGCCGGCCCGCTGGAAGGCATCAACGTTGTCGAGTTCTCCACCATGATCGCCACGCCCACGGCCGGCATGTTGCTGGCTGACATGGGCGCCAACGTCATCAAGGTTGAGCCTCCCTGGGGCGACCTGTGGCGCTATGCCCAGGCCGTCCTGCCCACCGACGGCCGTCCCTTCATGGCCTACAACCGGGGCAAGCGTTCCCTGACGCTGAACCTGGCCCAGCCCGAATCCGCCGACGTCGTGCGCCGCCTCACCGAGCAGGCCGACATCGTCCTCGCCAACAACCGTCCCGATGTGGCCGGCCGCTTCGGCATCGACTATGACACCCTCGCCGCCATCAACCCCGCCATCATCTACTGCGAAGGCTCGGCCTTCGGACACGAGGGTCCCGACGCCTACCGGCCCGGCTACGACATCATCATCCAGGCCATGTCGGGCATCGCCACCGCCGAGGGCAAGGTCGCCAACGGCGTCCCGCAGCAGATCGTCGCCAGCCCCCTGGTGGACACCGCCTGCGGCCTCGCCCAGGCCTGGGCCGTCTGCGGCGCCCTGTTCGCCCGCGAGCGCAGTGCCCCTACAGGTGAGAAGGGCAAGGGTCAGAAGATCGAGGCGTCGCTGCTCGGCACCGGCCTGCTCATGCTGGGAATGCGTTTCGTCCGCATTGATAGCATCGACAAAGGCCCCCACGTTGAGGTCATGGAATCGGTGGACGCCATGCGCGTCGCCGGCACACCGTATCCGGATCTGCTGGAGGTCTACGAAGCCCAGCACTTCCAGGCTCCCGGCAATATCTACTACCGGTTCTACCAGACCGCCGATGGCATGATCGTGGTCGGGTGCCTCAACGCCGTCCTGCGTCAGAAGCTCCTCGGAGTCATCGGCCTCCACGACATCCGCTTCGATGCGGGCTACGACCAGCATTCCCCGGAAGCCGCCGACTTCGGCGCGCAGCTGATGACCGACGCCGAGGCGATCTTCCGCGACAAGACCAACGACGAGTGGCTCGCCCTGCTCGACGGCGCCGGCGTCCCCGCCGGCCCGGTGCGCTTCGTCGAGGAGCTGTTCGACCACCCCCAGGTCGAGGCCAACAACCTGGCCATCGACGTGCGCCACCGCGACCTCGGAACCGTGCGCATGGCCGGCCCTCCGGCCACATTCACCGCAACCCCGCTGGAGCCGGGCAACCTCCCCGCCCTCGGCGAGCACACCGACGAGGTCCTCGCCGAACTCGGCTACGCAGCGGCCGACATCTCCGGCTGGCGCGCATCCGGCGTGCTCTAACCACCCCGATGCCGGAATACTCCTGGGACCCGCACAAAGACGAGTGGCTCCGGCGTAACCGCGGTTTATCTTTTCCCGACGTGGTGTATCATTTGGAGCACGGCGACTTGCTGGATGATACTGAGCATCCCAATCAGGAACGCCATCCTGGCCAACGACTGTACGTCATACGCATCATTGATTACGTCTTTCTGGTTCCGTTTTATCGATCGGGAAACGTAGATTTTCTCGTGACGGCCTATCCAAGTCGCAAGTATACCCGCGACTATTCGCCCCAATGGAGGACGCAATGAGCGACGAGAAAATGGAATCGCGGCCTCCCTCTTCGATGACCGACGAAGAGTTCGACGCTTGGTGGCCTTTCGACGATGACGACCTGGATGAATTTGAACGTGATATCGAAGAATCTCTTCAAGGTTACGACGTTCTCCCTGACCCCAACTGGGAGGAGAACAGGCGGCGCGTTCAGGAAATGGCCCGCCGCACCCGCGTCAACAAGCACCCCGGGCGCATAACCGAGGCGGAGCGGCAGAAGTTGCCCCCCGGCTTGCTCGCCTACTGGCGCGGAGAGGCTGCCACGCCTTACGACGACCCCACCGGGTGGGATGAGTTCCGGAAAACCCTGATCCCCTCTGACGACCTGTGGCGGCTGGTACCCATCGACACCTCTGCGGACGCCGGCCAACAGGCCCAACCCGACGCTGGACCATCCTCCTTCGATAACCCCGCGTAATTCCCGCCGATTTGGAATCTGGCCGCGCGCCCTCGGCTCGCACCACGGACGCCCTCTGGTTTTCCTGTGGTACGATGTAGATAATCTTTATCGCGTTGCGTGATAAGCAACGTCACGGTTCCCGCCACCGTAAATCCCCTGCATACGCCAGTGTCGACAGGCAGCTGGCCATACGAAGCGAGGTGCGCATATGACGCAATCCCCCGGCCTGACCGTCTACGGCGCCCTGTGGTGCCCCGACTGCCGCCGCTCCAAGCAGTTTCTCGCCGAGCACCGCGTACCCTATCGCTGGGTCGACATCGAGCAGGAACCCGAGGCCCAGGACACCGTCCGCCAGCTCAACGACGGCCGGCAGATCATCCCCACCATCGTTTTCGATGACGGCGGTCCCATCCTGGTCGAGCCATCCAACGCCGAACTGGCCGTCCGCCTGGGCATCAACCCCCAGGCCAGCCGTTCCCACTACGATCTGATCATTGTCGGCGCCGGCCCGGCGGGTCTGACCGCCGCCATCTACGCCGCCCGCGAGGGCATGGACACCCTGGTCATCGAGCGCGGCGGCGTCGGTGGCCAGGCCGGCTCCACCGAGCGCATCGACAACTATCCCGGCTTTGCCGAGGGCATCAGCGGAGCCGAGCTTGCCGACCGTATGCGCCAGCAGGCCGAGCGCTTCGGCGTCGAACTCCTCGTCGCCCAGACCGTCGCGTCGATCAACCCCGGTCCGGATTCCGGTGGCGTCCGCACCGTGACCACCGAGACCGGCCAGGAGTACCGCGCTCCCTCACTGCTGCTCACCCCCGGCACCCGGTATCGGCGGCTCAACGTTCCCGGCGAGGAGGACTTCATCGGCGCCGGCGTCCACTTCTGCGCCACCTGCGACGGCCCCTTCTACCGCGACATGGAGACCCTCGTGGTCGGCGGCGGCAACAGCGGCGTCGAAGAGGGCCTGTTTCTCACCCGCTTCGCCTCCCATGTAACCGTGCTGGAGGTCGGCGACCGTCTCCGCGCCAGCCAGGTGCTGCAGGACAAGGCGGCCGCCCATCCCCAGATGGACATCCGCCTCAACACCACCGTCCGGGAGTTTCGCGGCGATGGCAAGCTCTCCTCCGTGCTCGTCGAAGACCTCACCACTGGTCGGCAGGAAGAACTCCACCCGGCCGGCGTATTCGTCTTCATCGGCCTGGATCCCAACACCGGCTTCCTGTCCGACACGGTGGAGTTGGACCCGCGCGGCTTCATCGTCACCGGCTCCGGCCCGCGCTCCTCACAGATGGAAACCAATCGCCACGGTATTTTCGCCGCCGGCGACGCCCGGGCCGGCAGCACCAAGCAGGTCGCGTCCGCCGTGGGCGAGGGAGCCGCTGCCCTCATCGCCATCCGCGCCCACATGGAAGACGAAATCCGCAATCGCGGCTACCGTGGGGACAACTGAAAGGGCCAGGATTGGTATCCCGGCCCTCAATCAGGAAACGCGTAGGGGCGACCGTCTGGTCGCCCCTACGTCTCACCGAGTCATCACCGTCGCCTAATCTTCGGCCACAAAGCTGTAATAGCGCACCCCGGCCATCGGTATGCCGTAGCCGAAGCTGAAGACCCGGGCCGCGCGCTTGCCTTCCGCATCCGCGGATCCGTACTCACTGAGCACCTCGGCCATGTCCCGCTCCGTCTGCTCGCGCAGCAGTCCGGTCCGGCGGTGCGCCTCTTCGGCAATTAGGCGTTCATTGGCAGTAACCATCGTCATGTCCCTCCTAGTTTGAATATTGCGTAAAACACTTGATATGAACTGTATCATACTGGGTAATGCGCTTTTTGTCAATATGAGTCGAACACGGTGCTTAAATCCATCGGGGCGGCCGACCGGCCACCCCGAGCGCATCACCGCACCATCTCGCCGGCCGCCTTACGTCTCCGGCACGTAGCTGTAGTACCGCACCCCCGCCATCGGCACCCCGTACGCCAGGGTCGGCGGAGACATGCGGCAGGCGCGCTTCGGCACGATCTTCTCTTTGTGGGCTCCAAACTCGGTCAATACTTCGGCCAAATCCTGTTCCACTTTCTCGGTCAATAACCCGGTAAGCTGCTCTTGATCCACGGTGACTAGATTTTCTATGACGGTAACCATCGTTCCTAGCCTCCTGTATCGGGTTCGCTTAACATCACAAACCGGAATGGTGGTTATCATAATCGGCGATAATAATCCTGTCAACCCCCCAACCATTTCTCACACGTACCCACTTCGCACCCGCGGTCATCGCCAGCCTCCCCGCGGTCATTGCGAGCGCAGCGTAGCAATCTCGTCGCCGGAGGGATCCCCGCTCAATTCAACGAGATCACCACTTTGGATGTTTTCGCGAGAACTCTCCGGTTTCAGGACGCGCAACGGGACCACGATCAAATTCCCCCAGAACCCCGAGAACCTCGTAATTGCGTCATCGACGGGGCCGCATTTACCGAAAAAGGACGTGCAACGACGAAACGTTACCTATCCCAGTCAAACTCGACGCCCTCACGCCCTCGGCGTGACCACCTCAAATATGAGCCGAGGCCACAAATGTAGTACAGTGAGGTAATGAACAACAGCCAAAGCACATCCACAACCATATCCACGCCCACAATGGAACCCAACGAATACGTGCAACTGAAGCGGCTGGTGAAAGACTCGGGACTACTGCAAAAAAGGCCCAGCCGCTACATCCCCCGAGTCGGCGCCATCGCGGCGATGCTCGCCGCCAGCGTCACCATCCTGCTGATGTTCGACAGCCTATGGGTCCAGCTGGCCAACGCCGCTTTCCTGGCGTTCATCTTCGTCCAACTCAGCTTCTTGGGACACGACCTCGGCCACAAGCAGGTTTTTAGATCCAGCGCCAACAACGACCGCCTGGGGCTCTTCGTCACCTGTCTCGTCGGCATCAACCGGACTTGGTGGGTCCAGAAGCACAACGAGCACCACAGCAATCCGAACAACCTCGGCCTCGACCCTGACGTGGACCTCCCGGTGATCGCCTTCTCGGAGGATGATGCAATGGCCAGCAGTGGGATTGCGCGGCTGATCATCAGGCACCAGGCCTTCCTCTTTTACCCGCTGGTCTGCCTGGAGGGAGTCGTTCTCAAAGTATCGGGAATCCAGTACATGTTCCGCAATCGCCTCCGGTTCCCGGTGGCCGAACCGGTCATCATGGCCGGCCACATCGCCGGCTACCTGGGGCTGGTCTTCCTGGCCCTGCCCGTATGGGAAGGACTGCTGTTCATCGCCGTCAACCATCTGCTGATGGGCCTGTACATCAGTTCCACCTTTGCGCCCAACCACAAGGGCATGCTGATGCTGGACGGCAACAGCAAGCTGGATTTCCTGCGCAAGCAGGTCCTGACCGCCCGCAACGTGAAACCCAACCCGCTGAACGACTACCTCTACGGCGGGTTGAACTACCAGATCGAGCACCACCTCTTCCCCGGAATGCCGCGAAGCTGCCTGAAGCAGGCCCGGGAGATCGTAAGACCCTTCTGCGCCCAGCGCTCCATCGAGTACTACGAAACCGGCATCGTCCGCTCCCAGACGGAAATACTACAGTTCCTCCACCAGGTCAGCGCACCCCTGCGGGCCTAACCAATACCTTCTGGACGCGGAGCGCGACCTTCAGACGTCAGCGCACCCTTGCGGGCCTGGCCCACGAGGACAATTCCAACCCGGCCAACTCGCGGGAGGTGGCCGGGTTTCGCAATGGTAATTGTTCAGATTCGAGGTGGCCGCTCAACGCCAAAACCGTCATACCGGCGAAATCCGGGCCGTTCCCACGTTTCACCGAGCTCAGGATCTCTGGGATCCTGCTTTCGTAGGAACGACGTGTTCCCAACAAGGAAACCCGACAACTCAGAACACCTACTCGCAACGTTCTCGTTGAGTCCCCGGTTGTTGCCCCATCCTCCATCGCAGCCGCACGCAGCCCCGCCGACCCAAGGTCATTCGACTGTCCTAAATGTCATTGCGATCAACCAAAATGTCATTGCGAGCGCAGCGTGGCAATCTCGCCGCCACAGCGCCGGTCCTCGCAGCAGCGCCCCCACCGCATTGCCACTGCCGCGCCCCTTCACTCCCGATGGCGACAATCCAGCGACCCTGCCCTGATGACATCGGCCCCTTGCACTAACAGCACCCATGTTCTATCATAGCCCTGTCAGGCAATCCCGGCGCGGCCTCGCGACCCCCGCCGGAACCGCCGCCAGGCCAGCGGCGTCGCCGAACCTAAATCTGAATAGCTAGGCGATACGGTTTCGGGTCGGCAACGGCCCAGTCGGTTCTTCGCATCATGGTCGGCAGCTGCCGCTACCCGTTCTATTCCACGGGGCGGCCGCGTTACGACCCGGCGGGTGTCACCTCCGCCCCGTGCCGCATGGCGCCGGTCTCCTTGGCCGGTTCCCCGCGGGTCACGGAAGCTTGGGACTCAAAAGATTTGCGCGTAAAAACAGTGTTGGCCGTGCTCCGACACCAACCCGAAACCGCAACGCCTGACACCCAAATCAAGACCGCAAGCAGACCATAGCAAAGCAGGAGGTAAGTCACCCACCTTTCAACTCACCCAGTCCTCACATCGTGAAGCGGTGATCGCCAACCATGCGGACCGATCCGTGCCGACCGACCCACGCGGACCGAACCATGCGGACCGATCCGTCATCGCGAGCGCAGCGTGGCAACCTCGTCGGCCGACACGGCGTCGTTAGGGCGACGGGATTGCCGCGTCGCTCCTGCCAATGACGGGCTGGCTACGCGCGGGCCGACAACCTTGCCGCAACAGTCCTCAAGGCCGTCGCCGGCTCTCCTTACTCCAGGCGCCGTATCCGAGGCAAGCCCAGCGTCGCCGCGACGTTGATGGCCACCAACGCCGCGCCGTTGATGAGCAGCGCCCCCGGAGCGCCCACGAATCCGGCCAACGCCCCCACGCCCACATGTCCCACCGGGGCGAATCCAACGGCCAACACCCACGAACCCATGGCCCGGCCCCGTTCCTCGTCGGGCACCAGGTCCTGCATCAGCGTCTTGTAAAGCGTGTCCACCGCCATCGCGCACGCGTTCACGAACAGCAGCACCACCAGGAACGTGTAGATGTTTACCGACAGCGAAAAGGCCATCAGGCCGCCGCCAAACCCCAGGGCCGTCGCCAGCGTCAGCCACCCCTTTTTTCTCGTGGTACCCAGACCGGCCAGAATCCACAACCCCAACAGCCCCCCGGCCTGGCGCCCTGCGGTCATCACGCCCAGTCCCGTGGGCCCAACGTGGAGCACCGTTTTCGCGAACACGGGAAGCAGGGTCATGTGCGTGAACCCCAGCACTTCGGTGATCGCCGTCAGCAACATCAGCACCAGCAGGATCCGGTGCTCCCGAGCCAGGCGGACGTACCCCTTCAGGTTTGCCAGCACCGATTCCGACGACGCCCGCAACGAGCGTCCGGGGTTGTCGATCAACAGCGTCGCGCCGGCCGAAGCCGCGTAGAACACCGCCGACGCGACGAACTGCCACCCCGGGCCCACCAGCTCGATCAGGGCCCCGGATACCAGCGACCCCACGATCCCGCCGCCCTGCATCGCCATCGCCGCCAGCGCCAGGCCGTTCAGCGCGTACCCCGAACCAACGATGTCGTAGGTAAACGCCTGCCGGATGGTGATCGTGAAGGCCAGTATGCTGCCCAGCGCCGTCACCAGCGCGATCAGCGCCCAGACGTTGACGAATCCCCGGAGCAACAGCAGCGCCATCAGTAGCGCCACCGCCGAAGCCGCCAGCGTGCCGACCCGCAGCAGCGTGCGACGTGACCATCGGTCGGCCGCCGCGCCGGAGAGTATACCCAGCACGAAGAAGGGCAGCATGCGAGCGCCCGCGCTCACACCCACCATGAACTCCGAACCGGTCAGCTCGAAGATCAGCCATCCGACCGAAACCTGCTCCATCCCCGTGGCCAGCGAGTAGAAGGCCGTTGATATCCAGAGCAGGCGAAAATCCCTTATGCGGAGGGAGGCCGCCCAGTTCCACATGCCGCCCGAATGATACACCCCTCCACGCGCGGCCCCCAATCATGGGCCAACCCGTTTGTCTCGGGTTAGTCGTCCCCGGGTTAGTTGTCCCCGGATTAGTTGCCCACAGCTTTGTCCCGCCCGCCGTCGCGCCGTTTTACCAGCCGTTGTGGATGTTGTACACTTACCCCAACCTTCTTTAGGCAGTCCTGCTCGTGGCGCAAGTTACCATCATCGGCACCGGATTGATCGGCACCTCCTTGGGGTTGGCCCTGCGTAATTCCACCCTGCGCGACCTCACCGTCATCGGCACCGACGCCGACAGCGCGGCCCGCTCCGGCGCCCAGCGGCGAGATGCCTTCCACCGCGTGGAAGGTCGCTTGGGCAACGCCATCGCCGAAGCCGACATCATCGTTCTCGCCACGCCGGTCCTCGCCATGCGCGAGCTCATGGAGGGCATGTCCGACTACCTCCCCGAGGGATGCGTCGTCACCGACGTGGGCAGCACCAAGACCCAGGTCCTGCAATGGGCCGACGAGTTCCTGCCCGACTCCGTGGACTTCGTGGGCGGACATCCCATGGCCGGCCGCGAAACCCCAGGCCCCGAGAACGCCGACGGCACCCTCTTCTCCGGCAAGCCCTACTGCGTCATCCCCAGTCCCCGGGCCAGCCAGCGCGCCGTGGGGGAGGTGTCCACCCTGGCCGAGGCCGTGGGCGGCGTCCCCTACTTCATCAGCGTCGACGAGCACGACAGCTTCGTCGCCGCCGTGAGCCATCTGCCCTTCGTCCTGTCCACCGCCCTGATCGGCTGCACCAGCAAGTCCGCCAACTGGTCAGACATCGGACAGCTTGCCTCCTCAGGCTACCGCGACATCACCCGCCTCGCCTCCGGCGACCCTGTGATGCACCGCGACATCTGCATCAGCAACGCCCAACCCATCGTCGCCTGGATTGACGCCTTTATTCGGGAGCTCTACGAATACCGTAAGCTCCTGGATACCGACGGCGACCTACCCGACACCGCCGCCGTCGGTACTGTTTTTGAGGATGCCCGCCTGGCCCGCAACCGGTGGATGGCCGGGGATGTCAACCCCCGCGCCCAGGAACTGCAGAACATTCCCGAGTATCCGACGTTCAGCCAATCCATGGGTCAGATGTTCATGGGTGGGTGGGCCGACCGTGCCCGCCGCATGATGATGGGTGGCGAGCCGCCCAAAAGCCGGCGCGGCAATGACCGCGACTCCGGCACGCCCCGGCGGTAACCTGCCCTCCGTCGGCCGGCCTCGCCAACGTTCGGATCCCCCTCCGCCATTGCGCGCCGTCCATCGCTGCGCCGGCGCGAATTCAGGAACTTCCAGTCGACTCCATTCCGTCATCTCGCACCCCCAGGCGATCATCGCCGGAGTACGCAGTTGGAACAGACCATTCGCAGCCCTGAACGCTTGGCCGGCTCGCTGGCGGTGCCGGGCGATAAGTCGGTCTCCCACCGTTCGCTGATCCTCAACGCCATCGCCAACGGGACCGCCACCGTCACCGGCATTTCCGACGGCGCCGACGTTCGTTCCACCGCCGCCTGCCTCCGCGCCATGGGAGTGTCCATCGATCCGCTGGGCGAACCGGGGAGCTTCCGCGTCGCCGGCCCCGGCCCGAACCTGGACGAGCCCGCCGACATGCTGGACGCCGGCAACAGCGGCACCTCCATGCGGCTCCTTTCCGGCCTGCTCGCCAGCCAGGGCTTTCTCTCGGTGCTTTCCGGCGACGGGTCACTGCGCTCCCGCCCCATGGGCCGCATCGTCCAGCCGCTGCAACAGATGGGCGCGTCCATCATGGGCCGCGGCGGGAACACCCTGGCTCCGCTTGCCATACGCGGCGGAAGCCTGCGCTCCATCGAGTACGAGATGCCCGTGGCCAGCGCCCAGGTCAAGTCGTGCCTGATGCTGGCCGGCCTCGCTGCTTCCGGTCCCACCGTCCTGCACCAGCCGGCCCTGTCCCGCGACCATACCGAGCGCATGATGTCCGCCATGGGAGCCCGCATCGACAACGACGGGTTGGCCCTGACGCTGCATCCCGCCGAGCTCCAGGCCGTGGACGTGGCGGTGCCCGGCGACATCTCCTCCGCGGCTTTCTGGATGGTGGCCGGCCTGATCCACCCCCACGCCCGCGTCACCATCACCGGCGTCGGTCTCAATCCCAGCCGCGCCGGCATCATCGACGCCCTGCAGATGATGGGCGCCGGCGATTCGCTCCGCCTGGAGAACCAGCGGGTGGAGGGCGGCGAACCCGTCGCCGACGTGGTGGCATCGTCGGCCAGCCTCAACGGCATCGACCTCGGCGGCGACATCATCCCCATCATGATCGACGAACTGCCCGTCCTCGCCGTGGCCGCGTGCTTCGCCGCGGGAGACACCATAATCCGGGACGCCGCCGAACTGCGCGTCAAGGAATCGGACCGCATCGCCACCACCGTATCCGAGCTAACCCGCCTGGGCGGCAACTTGGAGCCCCGCGAGGACGGCATGGTGATCCACGGCGTGGGCGGCCTCACCGGCGCTGCGGTGGAGAGCCACGGCGACCACCGGCTGGCAATGTCCATGGCCGTGGCCGGCCTCGCCGCCTCGGGCGACACGATCATCCACGGCGCGGAGGACGCCTCGGTGTCCTATCCCACCTTCTGGGAACACCTCGCCAGTCTGCTCGGCGACGGCGAATAGCCTGAACGATGGTTGGCTCGTCCGAGCTGCCTCACGCCAGTCCGGCTCCGCCGCTGCTGGTCGTCATTTCGGGCCCGTCCGCGTCGGGCAAGAGTTCGGTTGTCTCGGGTCTGCGCCAACTGGAGCGGCCCTGGCACTTTGCCGTCACCGCAACGACCCGACCCCAGCGATCTGGTGAAGTGGATGGCAGGGACTACATCTTCCTGGAAGTTGAAACCTTCCTCCGCATGCGCGAGCGGGACGAACTACTCGAATCCGCCCAGGTCTATGACCGCTGGTACGGCGTTCCGCGCCAACAGGTCCGCGACCCGCTGATTGCCGGCAAAGACGTTATACTGGGAATAGACGTGCAGGGTGCTGCCACCATCCGCCAGATCGCGCCGGAGGCTCTGACCATTTTCGTGATGCCCGCCAGCCTGGACGAACTCAGCAGTCGCCTGTCCGGGCGCGGCACCGAGGGTGCCGCCGAGATGCAGCGTCGCCTCGACGAAGCCTCCGTCGAGTTGGCCCGCATCGCCGAATTCGACTACCGGGTGGTCAACCGCAACGGCGAACTCGACGCCACCGTCCACGAGGTTGACGCCATCATCGCCGCCGAAAAATGCCGGGTGAACCCCCGCCTCGTCCAGTTCCTCTAACCAGATCCGCCACTCTTTGTACTTACCCCCGCCTTTCCTGTAGTAACTTCCACCACCCCTGTAGCAACTCCTGCCACCTCCGTACTAACTCCCGTCGTTCCTGTATTTACCCCCGTCATTCCTGCGAAAGCAGGAATCCAGGTGCCAAAATGACAACCACCGAAGCCCCGCTGCGCCCTCGCCTTCCAGACTGGCTCAAGGTCCCCATGCCCGGCGGCCCGCGCTACATCGAGCTGAAACAGCTCATGCGCGACAGCCAGCTGCACACCGTGTGCGAGGAAGCCCGTTGCCCCAATATCGGCGAGTGCTGGGAGCGCTCCGCCGCCACCTTCATGATCCTGGGCGACATCTGCACCCGCGCCTGCGCCTACTGCGCCGTCACCACCGGCCGCCCCGGCACGCTGGACCTGGGCGAACCCTTCCGTTTGGCCGCTACGGTCAAGCGCATGGGCCTGAAGTACTGTGTCATCACCTCGGTCAACCGGGACGACCTGCCCGACGGCGGGGCCGGCATCTTCTCCGCCTGCATCAAGCAGGTTTTCGCGCCGCCGTCCCCGGCTGCCGCGTGGAGGTCCTGATCCCCGACTTCGACGGCAACCGGGATGCCCTGGCCAAGGTGGTCGCGGCCCAGCCCCAGGTGCTCAACCACAACATCGAGTCCGTGGAGCGCGTCTTCAACCGCGTGCGTCCCAAGGGCGACTACCGCCAGTCGCTGGAACTGCTGCGCCAGGTCAAGGATATTGACCCTGACATGCCCACCAAGTCCGGCATCATCGTCGGCATGGGCGAGACGGTGGACGAGGTGAAGCAGACCATGGCCGACCTGCGCGCCGTGGACTGCGACCTGCTCACCATCGGCCAGTACCTCCGCCCGTCGATCAAGCACATCCGCATCGACGCTTCTACACGCCGGCCGAATTTGACGAACTGCGCCAAGCCGGCGAGGCCATGGGCTTCAAGCACGTCGCCGCCGGTCCGCTAGTCCGCTCCTCATACCACGCCGACGAGCAGCACGACGCGGCGACCGATCCAACCACGTAAGCGCGCCCGCGCCGTTCCATTACGGCCGGCGACAATCCTGGCGACATCCGGACTATGCGTGCCCGCTGCGTCGGTACCCGAGCGAAATATGATCTGACCGATGCCGCACAGGTGTAATCGTGGCTCTTATTTCCAGTATCGACAGCGAAGACGACTACAACCGTGCTCTGGCACGTTTGGGAGAGATTCTTCGAGCTGACGTCGGAACGCCGGAGCGCGGCGAGCGCGACCACCTGATTGACCTGCTTGAAGCGTACGAGGAACCACGCGGTGACGTTGGCCTGCTGAGCATTCCGGCAGCCATAGAGTTCCACATGAGACGCCTGGGCCTCACGCCAGAAGACCTCGCTCCCCTGATGGGCAGCAGGAAAGCGGCGGCGGCGGTGCTGTCAGGCGAAATGGATATCACCATGCCCATGGCCCGTGCGCTCCACAAGTACTGGGGAATCCCTGCGGAGATCCTCCTGCAGGATCCTCCGAGCGAGGCGGAGAAAGGGATTACGTAACCGGCCAGACGCTAACTGATAGGGTGTTCTGGGCGCTGCTCCCAATTGGCGACGCCCTCGGGCACTGTAGGTTGCTGGACTAGGTTCTGTTGACATTTGGTTATAATGGAAATATGTCAAGACTTACGCTCTCAACAGGTCAGTGGACCAAGGTTCTCCAGTTCCTGCAAGGACGCGCCGACCTGTATGTTGGTCGGGAAGAGGAATGTCGCCGTTTCATCGAAGCCGTGCTCTGGGTGGCCCGCTCCGGCGCCCAATGGCGGCTCCTCCCAGCCGAGTATGGGAATTGGAACAGCGTCTACAAAAGGTTTGCCCGCTGGAGCGACCGGGGTATCTGGGAACTGCTGCATCAGCATTGCGCCGACGACCCGGATCTGGAATACCTCATCATCGACCGCACCGTATTATCGACAGCACCGTGGTCCGGGCCCATCCCTGCGCCGCCGGAGCGCCCCCCAAAAAGGCGGCCAGGCGGCCCAGGCCCTGGGCCGGAGCCGCGGCGGGTTCAGCACCAAGGTCCACGTGAGCGTGGATGCCTTGGGCAATCCCTTGCGGTTCATCCTGACTGGGGGGCAAAAGCACGACATCACCCAGGCCCAGGGGCTGATCGCCGATCATGCCGGAGAGTACGTGATTGCCGACAAGGGGTATGATTCCCGTGAGTTTCGCCAGTACATCCTGGAACGAGGCATGCGTCCGGTCATACCGCCACGCTCCAACCGTAAGGAACCCCAAGCCTACGATGCTTGCCTCTACCGAGAGCGGCACCTGGTGGAATGCTTCATCAACAAGATCAAGCACTATCGCCGGGTATTCTCCCGGTTTGAGAAGCTGGACGCCAGATACCTGGGCTTCCTTCACTTTACTGCTGCCCTCATTTGGTTACGATGAAATGTCAACACAGCCTAGTCTCGCCCCCAACCCACGGGTATGACTTCTCGAAACTCCCGCATCGCCTCGATGTGCTGATCCACCGAGCTCAGCGGGCCCCGACGCGCCTCGGCCATGACATGCGTCCCGCCCAGGCTCTGCCAGCCCTCGACCTCAGCCAGCCAATCCTCGGGTGACTTGCCGGGCATCCGGATGCGGCCGGCCAAGCCCACGTCCGACGGTTGCCGGCCCGCTTCGGCGATGTAGATCTGCATCTTGTCCAGCACGGCCCTGGCGGTGTCGTCGGGCCCGAAGCTGGGGAACCACCCGTCGCCCATGCGCGCAATGCGGCGCAGCACAACGTCCCTGGGCACCGGTCCCGCTGACCCGCCCGCGCCGAACCACACCGGTATCGGCTTCTGCACGGGCAGCGGCTTGATGCCGGCGGCGCGAACCGTATCCCAACGGCCGTCGAAGTCCACCACTTCCTGTGTCCACAGCGCCCGCATCAGGTCGATCTGTTCTTCGGATCGGATGCCCCGGGTGCTGAAATCCTCGCCCAGCGCCTCGAACTCCACGTGGTTCCAGCCCACGCCGATCCCCAGGGTGAGTCGGCCGCCGCTCAGCACGTCGATCTCCGCAGCTTGCTTGGCCACCAGCGCGGTCTGACGCTGGGGCAGGATCAGGATCCCGGTGATCAGGCGGATGCGCGTGGTCAAGGCGGCGATGAAAGCCAGCGTCGTCAACGACTCGTGGATCACGCTGTGATTGGTATAGTAGCTGCCCCGGACATGAGCGTGGTGATTCGGGTCCGCGCCTAGCACATGGTCCGCGATGAACAGGTAGTCAAACTCCATCTCCTCCACGGCCTGCACGTAGTCGCGGATGGCATTGGGGTCGGGGCCGATCTCAGTTTGCGGGAAAATAGCGCCGATTTGCATTGGTACCTCGAGCGTGTGGGGGTCGGGAAACAGATGATCAGCGCCGGTACTCGTCGCCGCAATCGCCGATGATCTGGTAAAGGTCGCGGGCATTCGCGAGCACCGCATCGATGGCCTGATTGTCGTCACCATCCAGCTGGAAGCCGAAGAGCCGGGCGTTTTCGGCGATGTGTTCCGCCACGCCGAGCCGTGCGCCGATAATCACGCCGGCCACCGCCGGTTTGTCCAGTATGTAGCGCTCCGCGACGTTCGCGATGCTGACGCCGTGTTTGTCGGCGACGGTTTTGAGTTCAGCCAGCAACCGCTGGAAAAGCTGCCACCCGCCCCAGGCATCGACCATCTGCTTGTACTTGCGCAGGCTGGCGGTGTTCAGATCGGCGGAGCGGGGTTCGGGCTGGCCGAGGTAGCGGTCGGAGAGCAGGCCGCCGCAGAGCACGCCGTAGGGCAGCAGCCAGACCCGCTGCTCCTCGCATACCTGCGCCATCTGCACTTCCGGGCGGTGGTCGATCAGGGAGTACTGCACCTGGTTGGACACCACGCGGATGCCATGATCGGCAATCTCCCGCAGGCGTTCGGTGTCGAAATTGGTCAAGGCCACGCGGTGAATCTTGCCCTCGTCGCGCAACGCGGTCAGCTGCTCCAGGGCATCCAGGAAGCGCTTGTCGCGGTATTCCCACCAGTGGAATTGCAGCAGGTCCAGCCGCTCGACGCCCATGCGGCGCCGGGAGATGTCGACGTTGTTCTCAACGATCTGGCGCGTCATGGGTCCCGGGCTGGGCACCCACTTGGTGAACGCCTGGATTTCAGACAGCGCGGCCTCACCTCGCTCCGCGGCCAACCGCCGCCGAAACTCGCCGATAAAGTCCTCGGCCGGCCCGTAGTGATCGGCCAGGTCCCAGGTGGTAAAGCCGGCGTCGTGGTAGGCCAGCATCGCATCGATCGCCGTCCCCGGATCGATGCGCCCATGCGCCCCCGACACCTGCCACATTCCGTTGAGAATGCGGCAAATAGGCAGGTTCTCCACAAAACGGAGCCGGGCATCTGTGGGAAGGGTCATGGTGACCTCGTTCATTGCGGGCATCGCGGGCATCGCGGGCATCGCGGGCATCGCGATTGTATCACCCGGTCCGCTAGCGCACCCGCCCCTTGTGTTAGGATGCGCCCAACGCGGCGGGTCGAACATCGCGAAATCAGTACAAAATTCAGAAAAGGGCAAAGAGCAATGCCACACGAAAACCGCTCTAAAATGAACCCGCCTCCGATTTGTACATTCGACCAAATATTCGACGCATTGGCACTGGAGCAAAATAAACAGACGACATTGTTCACAACCGGCCGACCGGGAGTGGAATTTGTTGCCGAGGCGAAATGGGCCCCAAGCGTTGCGTTAGATGACCAACGATTCATTTCGCTTCCACACAAGAACAGGATTTATGCCTGTTGTTGGGGCAACGTACAAAATCATATGGGAAAGGATGGCCAACGCATCGGCCAATACGCGCAGCCTCTGGACAAATGGGTTACCGATACCCGACAACCTTAACAGTGTGTGGGACGAGCATGGAGCAACTCCCCACCGTAATTTACAAGTAACGCGAACCTCACCCCGCTCGGGAACACTTCTCGTTGACCGCAGGAGGTACCCCCATGACCACTCAGCAGCCCATTCGCATCGGACTGATTGGCGCCAACATACACCAGGGATGGTCGCCGCGGGCGCACCTGCCGGCGCTGGCCGCCCACCCCGATTTCGACCTCGCCGCCGTGTGCACCACGCGCCAGGAGTCGGCGGACGAGGCCAGGGCCGCCTTCAACGCCGGCAGCGCGTGGAACGACTACAACCGGATGCTGGCGGACGCCGACATTGAGGCGGCCACGATCTCCTTGCGGGTGCCCAGCCACTACGAGCCGACCACCGCCGCGCTGCGAGCCGGCAAGCACACCTTCACCGAGTGGCCGTTGGGTCGGACCACCGAGGAAGCCATCGAGATGGCCGATCTCGCCCGGGAGCGCGGAGTGAAGACGGCCGTGGGTCTGCAGGCGCGCGCCAATCCCGCCATCGCCCACCTGCGCAACCTGGTGGCCGACGGTTACGTGGGTCGTGTGATGACCTGCCACGTGCGGCTGATGCGCGAGGGTGTGCTCTCGCGGGATTCGGGGCGCACCTGGCAGCGGGACAACGAGTTGGGCGCGCACACCCTGACCATCGCCTGCGGGCACACCATCGACGCCCTGTGCAGCGTTGTCGGCGAGTTCGCCGACGTGGCCACCGTGGTCAGCACCCAGGCCTCCACCTGGCACGAGAGCGACACCGGTCAGGACCTGCCGGTGACGTCGCCGGACAACATCCTCGTGAGCGGGAACCTGCAGAGCGGCGGCGTCGGCTCGGTTCAAATCGGCAGCACCCCCTGGGCCGGCAGCGGCTACCGCATGGAGATCTACGGCGAGGAGGGCACGCTGGTGGCCGTCTCCGTCGACTCGCCGCAGATGCAGCAGGTCACCATCCGGGGCGCCCGCGGCGGCAGCAACGAGTTGCAGGACCTGACACCTGCCGAGGAGCTGCACCTGGCGCCGGAAATCCCCGGCGGCACCGCCTACAACGTCGGTCAGCTGTACAGCCGGTTCGCCGCGTCGATCCGCGGCACGGCCAACGGCGACGCGCTGCCCGACTTCGACCACGCGGTGGAATTGCACCGGTTCATCGACGCCATTCGCCAGTCCAGCGACGAGGGGCAGCGGGTTGCCGTGGCGTGAGGCCACGGGGCGGAATGTTACAATCATCGCAGTTTACCAACCAGGAAAGTCACCGTGACAACTACACCTGAAATCAGGACGGGCACTCGGATGAGCTTGGAAGCGTTCCTCGCTTTGCCTGAAGTGGAGGGGCGCTGCGAGCTCATCGATGGGGTTGTGTATATGGCCGCCTTTCCTGTTCCGGATCACGAAATTCTAGTTGCGTTGCTGACCACCTATCTGTCTCAGAGCGTAATGTTGCCCGGCACGGGCATTGTCATGGGAACTGCCGGAGTGGTGGTCTCGGACAGCAGCGCCTTGGGGCCGGACATCATCGTCGTACGGGCGGAACGCGCCGGCGTCATTGGCCCAACCGTCATCACTGGGGCCCCTGACATAGTAGTGGAAGCGCTGTCTTCTAATCGCAACCGGGACTTGGTGTACAAGCGTACCTTGTACGCGGCGGCCGGCGTCGCAGAGTATTGGATCCTCGATGGCGGCGCGAACACACTCACGGTTCTGGAACTGGGCGACGAGGGTGTTTACCACGAGCGGGCTGCCCTCACGGCCGGCGACACCCTTACCACGCCGCTGTTCCCGGAGTTCAGCCTGCCCCTGGCGCAGGTGTTCAACCATCCGGCTCGGATCACCCGAGAGGAATAGACCACCGCACTGCCGAAAACAAAAGCTGAGGGGCGGGTCTACAGACCCGCCCCTCTCGCTTTGCGCGATGCCGCTGGCGATTAGTCAGCGGTGGTGGTAGCCGTTGCCGCCGCGGTGGCGCTGTCGACGACGGGCTGGTTGGTGCGGGGGTCCACCTCGAAGGGGGAGTAGAGCTCCAGCTCCTTGCCCATTTCTCGGACCGCGGGATGACTTCCTCGCCCATGAGCCGCAGGCTGCGCATCTGGTCATCGTGGGTCATGGCGCCGTCGCCGTCCCAGAAGAAGACGCTGCCCGGGCGCAGGTATTCCAGCACTTCCCGAATCTTGGGGATGACCGTCTTGGGCGTACCGGTGATGATGGTGCTGTCGGCAACCTGGTCCTCGAAGGGCCTACGGTTGGTGCCGAAGCGGCCGGCGGGCCCAAAGGCCGCGGCGGACAGCCGGCGCGACGTGCGGGACGTGTGGCCCGGCAGGTTCATGATGGCGGGGTTGATGCCGCCCTCGTTGCCGGCCAGGAACGGGTTACTGACGCCGGACAGGTACTTGCGCCCGACTTCGTCGGCCAGTTCCTCGGTCTCGTCGACGTGCACCTTCCACAGGTAGGCCACGTTCTGCGTGCCGGACTCGTAGCCATTCTCGGCTGCGGTGTCGTGGTAGAGCTGGAAGGCTTCGCGGGTGGGCTCCAGCCGGGTGGCCAGCAGGACCAGCGGGTAACGATGCTCGGCGCACCACTTCACGGTCTCCACGGACACGGTGGACGGGATCCAGATCTGCGGGTGAGGTTCCTGCAGCGGCTTGGCCCACGGGTTGACGTAGCGGTAGTGGAAGTGCTTGCCCTCCCAGCGCCAGGGGCCGGGCTCGGTCCACGCCTTGATGATCAGGTCGTGGGCTCCTCGAACCGCTCACGGTTGAAGTTGGGCGGCGAGTTGTGGGACCAACTCTCGCGACCACCGCCGCGCACGAAGCCGGACACCAGGCGACCGTGGGAGATCATGTCGATCATGGACAGCTGCTCGGCCAACCACAGGGGATCGTCCCAGATGGGCAGGACGTTGCCCAGGATGATGATCTTCACCTTCTCGGTGATGCGGGCCAGGATGGAGGCGCCGACGTTGGTGACGCCCTGCATGCAGAAGGGTGTCGAGTGGTGCTCGTTGAGCATCACGGCGTCGAAGCCCATCTGCTCGGCGTACACCTTCTCGTCGAGGTAGCGGTTGTAGAGCTGGGCGCCGATATCGGGCCTGTAATGGCTGTTGGAGATGCCCAGGTCGGTGCTCTGGGTGCCCATCAGGCCGGACGATCATCCTGCCAGGGCTGCTCGGTAAAATGGCCAATCAGCATAGCGGCCTCTCCTTACGTGAGGTTGCGGTACGGGTATGTCGATGATGGCCGCAGTTTAGCAGGTGGTGGGGGAGGCGGCAAGTTGGGCCCGCATGAACGTGACACGTTGCTAAGCGACACCGGTCGCCCTGTTATCAACACAACGCCGAACACTATCACAACGCAATAACGCTGTTGGGTCCCAATGGCACGGGACTTCAGTCAGTGATCGAGGCTTGGGTGATGTTGGCGACGCAACACTCAACTTGCTGCATTACGGACGCCGCCGAGCAGGCTTCTTTCCCAATGGTCGATTAAGCAGGTCGGACGCTCGCAGCCTATAGGTCTGCAAGTGGTTAGATATTTCGGCTGCGGTCCATTGGCCAGACGGTTTCGAGGCCAGTAGTGCCACGAATCGACTCACCGAGTCGGCTAATCTCTGGAGCTCCTGCTGGCGGATTACGACAGTTCCTTCTTCCAAGTAAGCGTCGTGAGCAAGCGTTTCCGACGGATGGACCAGGACCGGGGTATATGTCTCACTCGGGTATTCTTGTTTGAACCACGTGATGTGATGACCAAGTTGTTCCGCCTCTTTTTTGTAAATTTGGATCCGATCGAGGTTGGCCTGGTTTTTGCATTCGAACAGAAGATGGCGGCCCTCTGTCAATCGCCAAAGTACGTCAGGCCCCCGCTTTACGTCATGGTCCGGACGCTGCGATACAAAGCCTATCATTACCGCTAAATCGTCGAGAGCCTGTTCAAATGCCTCATGAGAAATTCCGAACGCAAGATTGTCCAAGACTACACTCGCCCGGGATACCAAGGCGTTTTGTTCTGTACTCTTCCTGACCCATTCCAAGACTGCGTGAGCTTGATCGGATTGCTTAGCCTGCATTTTCCGATAATTCGCGCCTTGAGGCGCTTTGAGTAAATTTCGGTTGAGGTCCTGAGCCTTGAGTTGCTTTTCTAGTGCGCCGGTTTGGTCATAGTGATGTAGATACCCAGCTTCCAGCTGCAGATACCACCCCACGTCTATTTCGGGTAGTTTTACTGCGTCCAGCAAATCGGCAATCGTCTTGGCGGCATCGACATACTGACCCTTAGACGCTTGTTGCCACGCTCGGAGTTCTGCCACCGCCAACTCGGAACTAATTCCGCGTTCCACGTCATCAAGTACAACACGCTGCAGCTCTGTTCTGTGATATTGTTGCCATCCTTCATTCCTTTCCAAACATTGCGTTACTAAGTCGAGAATAGCTTGGTAAGCGTTAGTGTGGCCTTCTTTGAGCGATCCCGACACGCGCTTCCCGATCTCAAATTGCCTTTTGGTTTCGCCGGTGAAAAAAGTTTGATTGTCCACTTCAGTGATAAATTCCACCAAACGCTTCCCTGTTAAAATCACCACACAGTAATCGGTCCTCGACCTGACCCCTCTCCCCATACCTTGCTCGATTTTTTGGGCGATCTGCTTCCTGAGGAAAGGCGAATCCCAGCGAGCTGTGGCCTCTATGCGATTGGCCAAGCCGTACTCTTGAGGCAAATCATCCAAGACCAATACGCGGCACGCCTCATTCGGAAGGTCAATCCCGTCATACCGATTGGCGAAAACTGCAGTATTGCCTTCGGAATTAGACAGCCGTTCGATCACCTCCGAAATATTCTGCGTCGTTGCTTTCATTGGTTGGTGATCGTTCCAAATGTCGGATCTTCGCCTCGATGGAGTCAACACGACAACGTTCACCTGATGTTGAGATCGGATCGCCAAAGCGAGCTGAGTCGTTTTGATTTCCTCGAGGTTTGAATCCACCAAAGCAGGGCTGAAAATGAGCCTCTCTCCGATATCTCCTCCGACCTTGGGTTGGATTGGCGTTTGAATAGACTCCGCGTCAGCTGCGAAATTCCTCACGAGCGACGCATCGTCTACCAAGGTCGCTGACATGTAGATCCGACGTGCGCATCTGTCGAAACTAGGGATCAATTCAATGGGTACTAGCTGAGGTGCTACTTCGACCCGAGTGCCCGACACAGCCGCGATACAGTTCGCCAGGACAGTGCCCTCTTTGAGGAATGGCCAAACGAACTTTAATTCATCAGTATCGCTGTGCTGACTAAACAAAGCCGCGACATCACGCAAGCGTTCTTGCCAAGACCAATATGGTATGCGTAGATACGCGTCATGTCGGCCACGGCTTACGTCAGCGTATCCACCGACTGACTGTTGTTGCAACGGCCCGTCAAAGAATGCAAATAGCCGCCTGCCGATTTCGGAGTCTTTGGGAAAACCAGCCGTGAAATGTTCGCGGGCGATATTTATGCACGTGTGTGCGTCGTCGACGAGGATGGTTCGACTTTGACAGGGTTTGGACGACCGGCGACGCGGAACACTGAAAGGCCATTGAAGAGCTTCTGGACATTCGTAATGAGAATACCTGTCGAATCGTGGAATTCCGGCGGAAACCGATTGTCGGGCGTAAAATCGACGTGCTTTATCCCTAAGTCTTCAGCCTCCCGCCTAACTTGGGACACGAGATAATTGTCTGGGCACAAGTACAAGGCCGGTCCTTTACCTTCTTTCAGACTAGACCAGAGGAGCATCACCACAACCAAGGTTTTGCCAGAACACCGGTGTTCATCTTGAAAACTAGATCATGCTCGTTCCTGCGTCCTTCGGCTGGTACCAAGCGTCTAGGACATCGCCTTGGCCCGAAATCCACCGAAGGATGCTGTGGGGCTGGATACGCAGGGGAGAGAGAAGCGTGGATGGGATGCGGTGCAGTGCCCCTGACCCCGCTGGATTTGGGCGGGTGCGCGGGTCGTGACAGCTACGCCAGAAGGGGATGTTTGACGGCTCGCAAGCGGTGGCGGAGGGCGAGATCGTCGGGGGCAGATGGAGCTGGAGACTCCCGCGGAGCTCAGCCTGAGCGGGACACGACAGGCGGTTGGAGGGTCTGGTTGAAGTGGTCGGACGCCGAAGGCGGCTGTCAGGAAGGAAGCGGCAGGGCTCGCAATCGCTCCAGGGCGCGACCTGAACTGGTTTTCCAGGGCCAGTGTTGGGGCAGATGCATGTCGGTGAGGCGACGGGCCTTGAGGGTGGGTGATGCGTCCGGCTAGTGAGAAGAAAGCGGTCGCCCGCAGGGTCTTGGTGGTAACCACCAGCTCGCCCAGGCCGATGCGCGCCGTTCGAGCGAGCAGATTGTGGGCCATGACCTGCCACCGCCAGCCAGGCGGCGCGTGGCGTGGAGCGTCCGGAGGGAAGATGATTTGAGGCCCACGCCGTATCTTCAGGTTCGCGGATTTGGTCGTTCTCGCACACCTAGTACTCTAGCGGCAATGGCAGGCACGTTGCTTATGGGCGTCGAAGGATAGAGTCACGGGGATCTGGTCACGCCCCGTAAGCGGGGCGAAAGGAAAGAGATTTCGCGGGGGCGTTGTGATGACTTCGGTATAGATTTTGGTGGCGCGATGTTTATTGCCTGATGCAGGAGTGATAGCTGTATTCATGAAGAAGCAGACAGTTGGGAACCGGGAGCGGGTTTCACACCGGAGACGATGAGACCGCGCAGGTGCGGCAGTCGGGCTCGGGCTCATGCTTGGAAGGGTTCGCGGTAATTCGTCGCAGGCAAGTCTGGCTAGCGCCGTCCATCCTCTGAAGTATAAGGGAGGCTGTCCAGTTCACCGTCTCTGGGTATGGCCTCTGTAAGAGAGGAGGGGGGGGGGGAGTAAGGGACCTATGGGGACCCGGGCGGAGCGGGCACCGTGGTATCGCCAGGGGGATACGAGGGAGCAGAGAATCCGTAGGAGGGTAGTCGAGACGTCGAAATATAGGGAGGCAAAGATAAGGAGAGGTAGAACATGGAAGTGGGGTGTTGTAGTTGTTTTTTTTTGTAGATTTAGTGCCGCTGCGTGCCGTCGGAAGTTTCTGTGAGCTTGGAAGAACTGGGAAAGTGTAAATCTCTCTCCATAACGGAGAGCACAAGGGCACCTGCAAAAAAGGATTGAAACGAAGAGGGGGGGCCTGAAAGCGTTGAATATGGGAATGGGGCCCGGGGGGGAAAGTGTGTCCGCGCCCCGAGCTCGTTGTTTTGTTGGTCCCGACCCCCATGTGCGCTAGACCCGCACCATCAGCACGTCGCCGGTGTCCGCGGCGACGAGAAAGATAGACGGGTCGGTGCGTGATAGCCCGCTGGGCGGTGTTTGGGTGAGCTCATGGTGGCGACTGTCGCCTTCCTTGCACAGTCGTGAGGTTCGATGAGACCACGCTCCACACCACCGGAACCGTTAAGGGGGACCTGTCCCTGGAAATGGCGTGAGAGGGGGAAAGGGGAGGGCGATAGTGAGACCAGGGTTGGCAAAAGACCGATTCCACACGGCAAAAGCATAGCAACGCAAAGTGGATGGATACCGATGGCACTAGTGAAACTATCATTCATCAACTGGATTCGTTCATCCCTGGATTACAGCGGGCAGTACCAGTGACCCCCACCGAAAACTTGCAGTGTGAGAGTAAAAGGTGTATCGACAACAAGGATTCCTGCTTTCTCATGCGGACGGAGCTGGTCCCGTATTCTTTGACCACGCGTCCGATGCGTCGTCTTCCGCCGTTCGTATTCCGCCTCTCGACTTCTAGGTTCTGGGAGGACATAAGCACCTGTCCCGGCGTAGTCAATGCAAGTCGCCGCCGAGCCAGCCGCCCGGAAGCCTAGAACAGGGTCAGTAGTTCTGGTCCCTCCTGGGGTTGGCTCGACGCGTGCGCCATGTCTCCAAGATGTCAATAGGGGTACTGGGTCCACCAGGATTCACCAAAACCCAGATTGGTGGGCCGAGGCGGTGACCGGGAAGGAGCAGGTCCGGCATCTATGGGATGTCTGAATGGTTCAGCTGTAAATGGTCCGGACTAATGTGTGCAGAGCGTTGATATAATCTCTCATCCTTCGTTGTATTGCCCGAATGGTATTCAGAGGTGTTGTC